CCGATTATACAAATCCCATACTCTCATCCGTGTATAAATTATATAATTAATTAGGAACATGAATATAAATTTGACGTAGGGATTGCCAATATATATATATATCAATATATGTGTGTGTGTACACGCTTATATCCGGGATTATAGTGTATGCTAAGTAATAATGTCTACTAAATGGTCTACAGCAAAAGATTGATGGAATAAACTGTTGTTCCGTGAATAATAATACTAAAGTAACATGTTGATTTTTTAAATTTTTATTAGATTGACACATGATTAAAAAATAAAAATAAAAACTTTATTTTAAATCAAGGTTTTATAACATTGTTATAAAACTGTAGAAAATAAAATGTTTTCAATATGGGAAAATCGCATATAAATATCCAAACTTCTAAAAAATCTCATATAAATATTTAAACTATAAAGGGTCATATAAATACCTTAATTTTTTTAAAAATCCTATATAAATACCTAAATTTTTTATTTATATGAGATTTTTGTAGAAATTTGGGTATTTATATGCGATTTTTCTTTTCAATATTTATAATTATATATATTTAAAAAGCATGTTGCGTACTGCAAATTCTACGTAGAGCATATGTATGTATAAGATATATTTACCATAATTTAATTTTTTTTAAGTACTTAAAAATTAGGTACCGCCATAAGTATACGGCTATGTCCTATAATCTTTACAACCTTACAATTAACAGCTACAACACTAATTCATTACGACTTTCAATGAACCAAAATGTGTGTGTGTGTGTGTATATATATAAAAGACAATATAAGCTTCCATTACAGATGCGTATATGTATTATATGTATAGTGTGAAATGGATATAGAGAGTATGAAGGAATGGGATAGTAATGGGTGGGGGTGGGCAGGCGTTTACGTACATGCTGTTGGCGGGGGGATCGGGAGCAGCGGGAGTGGCGAGGACGATGAGGGGGAGCGAGACGTGCGCGGAGAATGCGGCATTCTGCACGCAGACTTACATCTCTCTCGGGCTTGGCTTCGCCTCCTTCCTCTTTCTCGCCTTCTCTTCCTGCCTCTCTGGCTTTCGCGTCGCCTCTTTTCTCATCACCGGCTCACGCTTCCACGTTTGACCGATTTCATCGCCATGTTTCCTTCGTTATATATATGAACCCTTTTGTGATTATATCATGGAAACATGAGTCTGTAAGTATTTTTTTTTAATAAAATACAGTAATACAGTAACATGTAATGGATCAATCATGCATATCAAATAATATATCACACATAGAACATACTTGAATGCATTGCACAAATAAAAAAATGACAGGTTGCATGCAGAGATCTTTTAGAATAGAACGTAAATTTATTTATTTTTTTATAATAAATGGGTGCACACAAGACCACTATTATCTATTTATAGTAATAGATTTTTTAAATCGTTCATAACATTTTATAATATCTATATAGTTGTTTGACTTATATATTTTTCTATATTAATATTTTTGGTCTATTGTAATTATTGATCATAATATAGTGATTATGACGAGCACTTCATAAAATTTGTCGGTTGTTGCTTTATTTCAATAACCATATGGATCAACAACACATTGAATTGTACGTGATCTAATTGACATCTCCTAAAAATATAGAGATTAATGTCTAAACATCAATCAATATTCACTCATCATTTTAACATGGATTAAATTGGTAATAAATCCAACTGTCACAATTTTCGGAATCCATTACACTAATAGAATATATTTTTTTTTTACTCTCATTCTTAGGATCACGTTATTTTATAGCTTGTTTGGGCCTTAATAAAGGCCCATTTGTACTTAATGGGCCTATTCTTACTGTCTATGTATTGAACATAGTCCACCATTCCCTTGCTTGAATTGGACGATGATTGAGCGTAGTGATTATATCATATGTACATGTTTATAATTGTATTTCTTTTCTTGGAGGATTTAAAACAATACTGTTCTTACTGATTTACAAAAGTTTATTTAAAATACACGACGTATTTATCTTTGGAAAATTTTATAACTAATAAAAAAAAATACAATTCAAATGATAATAATCGTAATAAGCTAAAATTTTCGTCCCTGAAACTTACTAAAATCTTAGATCTTAATTATGCTATAAAACACCAATCCTAATATGCATTATAATATTTTTTTTAAGATACTAAGACATACATATTAATAAAGAGTTAAACCAAAACATTTCGCAATGTTGTATTTCGATATGTTGGTCGTTTACCTATAACTTTCTTATAAGTAATATAACAGTTGGTGTTTCAATGGTTGAGAGGTGAAGGTTTTGGGTTCGATTTCATTGGTGTAAAGAGATGTAATTTTTGGATCAAAATAGTCCATATATAAAGACTGGTCCCGAATCTAAGGTAGATGTAGTCAGGAAGACCCGGAGAACCATCTTAATTATAAAAAAAAATTATAAATCCTTAAATCTAATAGTTGATCTTTTATTTCAATTTTAGTTTTAGTGATTGATTTTTAATATATAACTTTTATCAATCAAAATCTAAACCTTATAAATATCATAAAAACGATTAAAGGATGAAAATACTTATTCACATGTTTTCAATATAATAGCATAATTATTTCATGCATATTGTATGTGAATCAAATATCTTCTAAATTATTTTTCATAATGATTATCCATTTTTTTGTAACATATTTTTGCAATGATGAAATCCTGAAATTGTTATATACAGAATGTATATAATCAGTCAAAACTTTTCGTAATCATCCATCTAAATTTCCAGGATGTTCGCCCTTTGTATAAAAATATAAAAAATATGAATATTCTTGTAAAGTTTGTATTCCGTTAGCTTTCTAGATTTTTGCAATGGGACGTCATTGGATTGTCCTATAGGAATCATATTGTTTAATTCCTAAAAATAGTATCAATTTGGATAAAAAAAAAATCCAAATTTAAAAAAATGTTCATGCAACACGATCAACTTCTACAACTTTTTTTTTAACATCAAGTTTTTTATTATTAAGTGTAAATTATTCGAATATCATATAAAGTGGAGTGGGCAGTCATATCATAGCCTAAGTTACAATAATTTAAATGTTTGACTAAATATCATATTATTAGATGCTTGTCATGAACAATAAACTAGAAAATTCCAACTTTTGTATAAAATAATATATTTTGGTTGATATTTGAATGAATGATTTTGACATCCACCAGATAATTATAATTGAAGAGATTTGTAAGAGGCTTACTAGTTGGATTATAAATACCAAAGAAAGCGAAATAGGATTAGGCATAATCATTTGAGTAAAAATATATTATTTTGTGATTCTATGGACGTCAACAACTTGTCATCGTTTAGTCATAAGAGTTTATCAATTAATCAATAATCAATAAAATTATTCATAATTCCAAATATTCGTTTTATATTATGTCTATACTCTTAACTTGTAAATAATCTCTAATTAAAAAAAAATCTAAACAACTTCATATATGTATACTACATACAAAGTTTCTAAATTATATATTCCCTTTTTTTAATATGTAATTTTCTTGTCTATTTCCAACATTATACTTACTTTGAAATAGATAAACCAATTCCTAGACCTAATAAGCTTTGAAATACTTCGAAGTCTTATCAATAAATTGTAGCATTGAATTATTGTAAACACCTTTTTATAAGAAAACAATTTAAACTAAAGTAATAGTAGTTTATTTTTTGAATTTTATGCGAAACTAGTGGTGATTTTAAAAACATCCGTAAATAAAAATAAAATTTATTTAAAAAACACGTACGAAAATGATTTTTGTCTTTCACTATGGATTGGACACCAAATCACATATAATCAAATTCTCCACCGCATCTCACATGTTATTGCTAATTTTAATAAACGCACCAAAAATATTTTGGCTGCAACCTATTTATAAGTCATTACAAGTTGAACCCATTGAGATTCACAAATTTGAGAATTAAAAAAATTCATTCCTAACCACAGCTTTATCATCGAACAGTATCCATCTCTACTCCATCTACCACCTCATGATCAGCAACTTGAGCCGCCAAATGACCATATTACCCTCCATGCGTGCTGTTTCACACGTGTCGCCTGCCCAATCCCTCTCTTCTACTTACGTGTGTGTGACTAGACACGTGGGGCCCACTTGCAAACCGACAAAACAACAACCCTAGAACAAATAACGCGACCAAAATTAATAAAAAACAGAAAACCATCAAACGAAAAAAAAAAAGAAGACTGCCTGCCTTCTGCGTCTGTTTCTTCATCGTCGTCTTCTTCTCCTTCTCCGCTGAATTTCCCGGATTCGACATTGTGTTTGATTCTCCGGCGTTATTTCAGACAGGTGTTATGGGGATTCTCAATGAAGACGCCGTGTTGATCCAACCCGGGAAACTTCCCGGCGATCCCTGCGTCGTCACGGTTAATTGTCCCGACCAAGCTGGTCTCGGATGCGATCTCTGTCGAATCATTCTCGAGTTCGGTCTCTCCATTACCCGAGCAGGTACTTCGTTTATATGAACTCGAGTTCGATTTTTTTTCCTTCTTCTCCCCTTTTCCTTTTTATATTCTTGGGATATTCTCTGTTTGTCTGCTACCTAAAATTTTCAATTTCCAGACCTTTGCTTTCTGTAGTTATCGACGAATCTAGATGTCTCTACGCTGAAAAAGTGGAATGATTTCGGAGATTCTGCATCTTTTTCATCAAAACCCCGAATTGGTAAAAGATTCCAAAAAACAAATTCTTGTGCGAAGAATTCTGGGTGGTCCTCTCATCACTTTGTTCAATGTTCCAGATTTTTTTTTTTCAAAATTGGAAAAACCAAAAGAAAATTTTAATTTTCTTCGATTTAGTTCTGTCTGTGCAAGAACTGGCTTTTTTGTAGCTAATGTCGGTGAACATTCATTCCAGTTGGCTGATGTTGGTGTAATTTCATGTCTGATGTTTTGCAGATTTTTCGACAGATGGAAGGTGGTGTTACATAGTGTTTTGGGTTACTCCACAACTCAGTTCTCATAAAATCGATTGGGACAGCTTGAAGAACCGGCTCTTGTCGAATTGCCCATCTTACCTGGGCGCCTTCTACTTCTGTCAGCAATCCAATGTGCCTTCTCGTCCTTCAGTTTATCTTCTCAAGTTCTATTGCCGTGACCGAAAAGGATTGCTTCATGGTAATAAACATCTATCCATCTCTTGATATGTTTCTTTTGGCTCGTTGAATCGTCGCCTTGCTTGGTTTGTGATTATCAGATGTGCAATGGCCTGGTTTCATCTTTTGTGGTGGTAAGATATTACCGGACCAAAGTGTTGGGTTTGTGTTTCATAGATTTTGGTTCCGTCTTTTGTGACTGTAGATGTCACCAAAGTTTTGACGGAGCTCGAATTCACTATCCAAAGAGTCAAGGTCATGACGACGCCCGATGGAAGAGTGTTGGACCTGTTCTTCATCACCGACGATGCTATGTGAGTTGATCTTCCGATTCCTCGGTTTCTTATCTGCCATCAAGATTATCGATACAGAGAATGTACGTTCTTTATCGAAAAATTGCACGCTCTCTCTTCGTAGTATGCTCCCTTCGGACGAACCGGAGGCACCCATTTGAACTCTCGGTTTTAACTTTAGATTCAGCATATCATACTTGTAGTTTGATTGTTACGAAGACCCGGGTGCTTAAAATTCGTTTACAGAACGCCCGTGTCTAAAATCTTGACCATCTCGTGTTGCAGAAATCTACTTCATACGAAACAGAGGCAAGTCGATACGTGTAACCATCTGACTGCCGTGCTCGGGGAGCATGGTGTGAGCTGCGAGCTCGAGCTTGCCGGGCCGGAGTACGAGAGCGTACAGGGTTTCTCTTCCCTCCCGCCTGCGGTTGCCCACGAATTGTTCGGCTCATCAGAACCTGCAGACACGGAGATTGCCAGCTCGGACACGAACAAAGCTGTTATAACGGTGGATAATCAGTTGAGCCCGGTTCACACCTTGCTTCAGATTCAGTGTGTTGATCAAAAAGGGCTTTTCTACGACATCTTAAGGACCTCGAAAGACTGTAATATCCAGGTATATGCAATAAAGGAACCTCTTTTCTGTTGAACTTGGATGCCGGTTTAGGGTTTGCAGGTTGGTCTGAAGTGTGGGAGTTGTAGCATCTGACATTGTCCTAAGTTGTCTTAGGGTGATATTTTAGCTTGTGTAGTGATATTGGCATGGAGTATAGTATACGGAATTCTAATATCTTCGATAATTTTTAAGGAGAAACATCCATATCTTCGATAACTTTTACCGTTACAGCTTTACTTGATCCGAATGCAAATCAGTATAAACGGAACGTGTTCTTGAATTTAATGAAGTTTTTTTTTCTGTTCTTTTTTGTGGATGTACAGATTTCGTATGGTAGATTTGCGTCGAAGATCAAAGGCGACCGAAACATGGACTTGTTCATACAGACGAAGGACGGGAAGAAGATATTGGACGGGAAACATCAAGCAAACCTCTGTGCTCGTTTGAAGCAGGAAATGGTCCATCCTTTGAAAGTGACGATCCTGAACCGAGGGCCAGACACTGAGCTACTGATAGCCAATCCCGTCGAGCTATCAGGGAAAGGAAGACCTCGGGTTTTCTACGACGTCACGTTAGCCTTGAAAACCCTCGGAATCTGCGTCTTCTCCGTGCGTTTTCGCCCGTTTCCCCCTGCCCTTTCTTTCTCGATACCCTTTTCCCTCTACAATCTGACGGGATTGTATTCATGTTGTAGGGCGAGATCGCGAGACATACGACCTCGGAACGGCAATGGGAAGTTTACAGGTTCCTTCTGGACGATAGCCGAGAGTTCCCTCTGGCGAGCCAGCGGGCAAAAAATCAGGTTGTGGATAGAGTGACAAAGACACTCATGGGTTGGTGAGGTTTGAGGTCCATGAGCTAAGTGAGAAGTGAACCATCTATCCGTCATGGCTGAGTAAGGTTGGCCGAGCCGGGTGGGCCAATGGGATCGTTCTTCGAGCCACGGGGTAGAGGAGACGGGTCGCCATCCGCTTTCCTTGTAGCTATAAAGCCATTGTAAAAGGGGAAAAAAATCATAACCTTTTTGTTAAGGGTTTGTGCCATTGCCAAACAAGTCTCTTGGTATCTCTCCCCCAGGTGGCGCGGTCAATTCGGCTAATAACCGAATCCATTCGAATAACCAAATCGAATTGGATATAAAAAAAACAAATTAAATAGGAAATATAAATAAATCAATTTTTTTGGAAAATGAATATTTTTATCGATAAAAAACAAAATAGGATTGAATAGAATTTAATATAAGAACGAACGATTATAATCAAATCTAATTATAATCGAAATGAAATGAAATCTAAATATAATCTATATGAAATCTGAGTAAGCAACTTCTATCCCAACCCAGTATAATAAAATTCAATCCCAAGTTTGGTTTGATTTTTATAAAATTTGAAACTGAATATAGTGAAACTGATATTTGGTTCGGTTGTTTAATGGAATTGGGCTAACAAAAATCTAATGGAATAAATCAAAATTGAATATACCGAATCTGAAATTTGGTTCGGTATTATGAAATTGCCCAAAAAAAAGGACGTTAGCTGTTCCCTTTTCCTTTAATCCTCGGAAAGAAAGATAATTAAGGTGTACCAAGGAGGGTATGTTCGTACTTTCGCTCCCCATGACCCTGAATTTCACCGGCGAGGTCATGACGACGAGGGGTATAAATGTCCTCCGTATTGGGCCGTTGTCTTCTTCCTGGAACCGAACCGTTTTCCGATTATTCTAGAGAGAGAGGGAGCTCTGCGTAGGAGTATAGATTTGCGAGCGGAGGAAGATGACGGCACCGGCCAAGGCGAAGCACTCGCCGGATTCCGGCAAAGAAGAAGGCGAACTCTCCTGCTCAGACGACGATGTATATTCACCGGAAAACCAACTTTTGTTTCTTCAGTTTCTTTTCTTCTTGTCTTTTTTCCTCGTTCCAAAATTTTGATAGGTTTCATGCGTTATTCGTTTTAGCTTCTGCTGCTGACTGTGATTTCGTGTACATGTTGTTGGATTTGTGTTTGGCTGCGGAGAAAATTGGGGCTCATGGTAGGGGACAAGGAGAAAACGATGGTTCTGTTTGTATTGAATTGTTTATGTTTTTTGTCTAGGAATTAGCGAGTTTCATGGACTAAGATTGCCCGTCGTGCGTGTTCCGGAGCTGTGGCTATTATCTTAGCGACTTCTTTCGATCTCATGATTTTATGCTGTTCATGTCTCATTTCTGTTTTACTGAAATCAGAATGCTGGATGGGTTTAGTTTAGTGTGCTTAGACATCTTATTCATAGTTATATCTCTGAAAGTGCCATGAACGTTTTGTTTCAGGGACAACCGATTCCTTCTGTTGGAAAGCCAACCAGCACCAGTGCTCCTGTTACAGGGAACTCATCAGTTCCTTTGGGAAAGAGACAAATTCAAGGGCATCGGACTGGTAAATCTTATCCATCTCTCATTTCATGCTTAGAATTGTGTTTATTCTCATTGCGTGTTAAAGTCCATCCGTGCTTTATCAGCTCGAGGGGGCATGTTCCAGTTCCTGACATCTTGTTTGAACTCGGTATCTACCTGCTATGGATTGGTATTTTGGTTTGCTTTGGCTTCTCTATAGCTTTCTACCATGTGCTAGATTCTTTTTTCAGAATCAGAGATTTGTAGGTATGGATATGAGGATATTTGGATTTATGTTCTGAAGCAGGTGTTGCTCGTTGGAGATGAATCGATTAGCTTTTTTTTTCTTACTTTTAGTCCAATGAAATATTGAATCTTCCATTAGTTTATATTTTGTACAATATGATTTATTCTGCTTTTACAATTTCTATGTCAGTTTTACGTTTTGAAGCCAATTTAATGTCTTAAATGCATAATGAACACATTATTCTTTGTTATGATGACTTGTCAGGAACTGCCGGTACCATATCTAGCTCTGCAGGTGCTGCACCATTAGTGTTAAAGCGGCCTGCGATGCTGCAAGTGAGAAAGCCCAGATCGATGGCAATGTCCTCTTTCCAGGAAAGTATCGTCAAAATGATTTTGGAGGTAACTTTTCTGTGGACATTACTTGAGTTCAGTGTCATCTTAGATAACTTAGGCATGATGCCGTCTGCATGATGTGTCTACCCTCTGAACTGGTGCTTCTGCATGTCTTAGTATTATGTGGCGGGATGAACTGATATGTTTGTCTCTGACAAACTTTATGTGGTAGGCTGGTGTGTTTTCTTGGTCATTGAGTTATGTGTCCAATAAGAGCATGGTCACTTATAATGAATGCTCTAATTCTTTTCATGTGGATGATTGTTTCAGTTATAGCCGTGTCCAAGTTTCCAACTGGCTAGGGTTGGAGATGATTAAGAAGAGCGTGTCTGCAAGGGATAATGAGAATCTGGTGATTAGCTTTTCAGATGATGATAGTGGTAGTGAATTTGACATTAAGGAACGGGCAATAGCAGCAAAAGTTCAACCAAAGGTAGTTGGCATGTCTGGGAGTGGAAACAGGCCTATGCCATCACTAGCAAAATCGAAAGGGCCAAATCAAATTGATAGATGTATAAACAAAGCATTGGTACACAATGTATCATCCTGTCACACATTTAGTCATGCAGCAAATTCCAAAGCTGCCAACCCTCCAATGGCAAAACCATTGGAATCCAGTAAATATGTTAGTGCCTCCGGAAAGAAACTAAGCAAAAAGGAGCACCTTTCTGTCCAGGTTGTGGGGCTTAATAGTTATAAACTTCAGGATTTGAGGCAGCAGATTGCACGTCGAGAAAGTGAGCTGAAGCTTAAGGCTGCTCAGCCAAATAAGGATGCTGTCAACCAAAACATTGATTCTGCAAGAAGATTAACTGTGGTTTCTGCTGATGTTAAGCAGCTAGAACCAAAAGAACCTGCCAAGAAACGTTTAAAAGTTACTGGTACTGACTCAACTCAACCTGTCTTGAATGACAGAGTGCCAGTATCTGCTGCAATACCCTTGGAAGAGCCATGTGTAAAAACCAGCCGACTGCCAGGTTAGACTAACTGTTCCATGGGAAATGTATAGTGGTTAGACAAGAGAATTCGTAGAATGTATATATATATATAGAGAAATTTCATCATATTTGGTGTATTTTGGCTGTGCGTCTGCAGGTTCAGGTGCCAATACTAGTTGCAAACAAATCAGTGGGAGCTGTGATCGGACTGGTGCTCGCGCAATTTCTCACTGTATTGTTGAAGGAAATACAAGCTCAAATACCTTGCCCAAAAGCACAGTAAGTGGTCATTATATTGCTGGAGTTTTGTCATTGCCACTCGTTTTGTATGTTCTCCAATCTCCACTGAACCTGGCGACTGCAAGAGGTGGAACCATCGACTCTATAACTATTGGTCTTTCGTCAAATTTAGGGCTAGTGTTGTTCTTGATTTGAGTGTACTTTTTCCCCAGAAGGAAGCAAATTATAGTGGAGTCAGATTTGGTCAGCCGAATTTTCCTGTTCAGACGACCACAAGAAAACCGGGTACAATCGATTATGATGGAGCTGTGTCAAGTGATCACCTGCTTCAGATATTAAATGGAAAAGACCAGGTTTTTTTCAATTCTTCAAATAACAAATTGGAGACGGTTGATTGGTGTCACAATGCTTACTTTGGAGTTTTTTTTTTCTGCTTGCAATTTAGCCGTGCATGGACAACTCGGGTCTTTGGAACCTTTTGGGAAGCACAAGTGTTCCTGGACAAAGTCAACTAGACATCATAGCTTTGACAAACATGGAGGAATCTCTAGACAAAGAGCTGGAGGAAGCACAAGAATACAGACGTATGTGTGAAACTGAAGAACGAAATGCTCTTAAAGCTTATAGAAAGGCCCAGAGATCCTTGATTGAAGCTAACACTAGATGTGCAGAACTTTATCGCAAAAGAGAAATGTGTTCTGCTCACATTGGATCTTTTGTCGTGCATAACTCCAGTCTAATGTGGTCTTCTAGGTGCCATGAGCGCACAGAAACAAGGTTTGGCTTGTTGAACAATAGTACTGAAAACGTTGACATGGGAACCACATCGGACCACCCCCTACATATTCAGCAACAGTGCAGCCGGGATGTTGACAATGTAAATGGCGGCCAGGGTGTGCCTAGTCCACATAGTGGACAGAATTTGGGTTCGGAACCTTGCAGTGATCCAGATGCTAGCACATCAGATAGATTGCCTTACAGTCACAAACAAACCATAAACAGGCTACGCTCCCCGTCCAGTGATGCAAATATTTCACCAGATGATGATGGGTCATTTCTTGTAGACCGCGAATCTAGTCAGCACAACCTTGAAGGCCGACAAGAGGAAAATCACGAGGACCCGCAAGATATATACAATGTTGGTGGCAATCAAAATCCTTTGCTTCTCGAAGCGTCATTGAGGTCTAAATTATTTGAGCGTCTAGGTATAAGAGCAGAATCAAAAGGAGGTGGAGGTTGTTCGAATGGAGAGACTATGATAGACAGAGAAGCAGAAAGCGATGCTGCAAGTGAGAAAGCCCAGATCGATGGCAATGTCCTCTTTCCAGGAAAGTATCGTCAAAATGATTTTGGAGGTAACTTTTCTGTGGACATTACTTGAGTTCAGTGTCATCTTAGATAACTTAGGCATGATGCCGTCTGCATGATGTGTCTACCCTCTGAACTGGTGCTTCTGCATGTCTTAGTATTATGTGGCGGGATGAACTGATATGTTTGTCTCTGACAAACTTTATGTGGTAGGCTGGTGTGTTTTCTTGGTCATTGAGTTATGTGTCCAATAAGAGCATGGTCACTTATAATGAATGCTCTAATTCTTTTCATGTGGATGATTGTTTCAGTTATAGCCGTGTCCAAGTTTCCAACTGGCTAGGGTTGGAGATGATTAAGCTAAACTGCTGGTAGCAAATGTATGAAGTGACACCGAATTTGATGGCTCATCATTGCATTCCGATAACATGATTAAGAATGACTGAACTATCATATCTCAGCACTTGGCGGCTTGTCCTTTTCATTCCAAATAACAGTGTCTAAAGATGCCAGAATTTTCCTTGTTTTGATCACTCTGTGTTTCAGTTCCCATTTTTTGATAAATATATTTCAGCACTTCTATTTCTCTGAACAGGTACTGACAGAGTGGAAGAAAATGCCTGTAACGCATCAGTTGATCCGTCCCCAGACAAGGAAAATTCATCGATCTTTCAATCAACTATGGATTTGCAATCTGATAGGCCTTCTCCTAGGGGTGACTTACCCTCGACATCTGCTGTGTTGCCCACTCCTTTATTTCTAAGTGCATTTAACCATTTGATGGTCACAGAATCCTCACTTACATTGCTGGAACCAGAACATACATTGAAAAACAAGTCAAATAGCCTCTACCCTAATGAAATGCTGAGTAACAGCTTTGTGGAAACCCCATTATCTGAGAGAAAAATTGGTTTCTACATCTCTGATGTGAAAGTAGATCCTTCCTGGCCTCTCTGCATGTACGAGTTACGAGGAAGGTGCAACAATGATGAATGTTCTTGGCAACATTTCAAAGACTTCTCTCATGACAACAGACATCAGAATCAGCACGACAATACTGGTAGGGCAGTTAAGGAAATTTCTTCCTACAGTTTTTGGGTTCTGTCTCTCTTTGCTTTCCTTTTCTTTTGGGTAAGAACTTTTAATGTAGAGATCTTGCAGGTTTTCAACACGGGTCAACCTTTCATCGGAAGAAACATATTCTTGCGAGAGGATCCCAAATAGCTGATATGATGCTCTCACCAACATATCTTGTCTGCTTGGATGTGATGAAAGCTGATGCACGTTCTTACGAGTCTGTTATAGCACAAAGACATGGGCAAAGTTGGTGGAAGTGCTTTAGTATTTACCTAGCCTCATCGGAGTCACTGCATAAGGATATTCCAGATGAAAATGAAGGTCGTATTGAGGTCCTTGGGAATTTGAGAACGCAATCATCATACTTCAGGAGTAAACATAGCTTGATGGTTTGTCTTTTATTTCTCCTCAAAATTTTATTTTGTGCTGGTCTCTTTGGTTGTACCACTAGCTAGCTGCAGATTCAACTCTGTTTTTTGTTCTATTATCCATGTCTTAATCTGGATTTCATTGACCTGTGCGGTGCATTTTTAGAATCAACTTAAACAAGGTTCAAATGCTGCCATTGAACCCTTGGAAATGGCCCTTCTTACTTTCTGTCAGGAAACTGACGAACCAGATGGCTTGATCCTGGTAAGGTTGCCTGCTTTCTATCAGTTTCTATCTAGTGACAGATATATCTCCTCGTTTCTGACACTAATTTCGCATTTTCTAGGCACTTTCTTTGCTTTCACGATGTCTTGAAGCTGATCCGACATCTGAGATTCTTTGGATTGTTTATCTGCTGATTTACCATGCCCATGAAAGATCAGATGGGAAAGATGACATGTTCACTTGGGCGGTATGCTATTCTACACTGTGATTTACCTTATATTTGTTCACTTGCACATGCCCGTGTGTTTGTTCTAATTGATACTTGAAGTGTGTTATATTTTCTTTTTGTTTCCTGGTCCTCAAGTCTGATAAGTTGATCCTCGAGCATTTTCTATATACCCTATATGGAGTGATGCATCATGCTCTTTTCTTTTCAGTTAAGAAATCTATCATTCAAACATATTGACATATCTTGTTAGGTTCTGCGTACATAATTCTAATTTCTCTTTAACTTCACTTCTTTCCCT